AGCTTGTGGGGAGGCGGTAATGGGGTCTGATTCCGTCGGCCCTTGCAGATAAAGTCGAGTGGACGGTAAGTTCGTCTATAAAGTATTAGAACTGAAGAGATTTATGCGACAGTTTTGATTGATCTTTGTCTTTCCTGGCGGTTGTTGGTGTTGCTCGAGCTCGAAGTCGCCGGATCAAACTAACCAACCAGCTAGTTAGTTAGTTAGTTAGGTCACTGATTTGTAGTTAATTAGTTATTATGTAATCATCGTCTTTATCTCGAGCTGGACGAATTCAATAATGTCCAGAAAATACAACGGAGCGTGTCCACCTCATTCTACATCTGGTGATTGATAGAGGATTGTTGGCTTTGAAGCGCTGCAGGGCACTGGAGGCCCATTGCTGCCTAGTCAAGGGTCTGTCTTCGGCTTTCGAGATACTCCGTACTTTAACTGCTACAGAAGGCATTCTCAACAGGCCGTCTTACTTGCATAGTTAACTAATAACAATATGTCACTAGTTAGCGTTCGAATAGTTCAGCTCTGGATAAGACGACATGCGTTGAAGTACTTGGTTACACATGTCTGGATATTGTTATGTCCGGGTATGCAGTCACTACAGATAATGGCAGCAGATTGTCTTCATGAGCTTCGGGTCAGCTAACTACGGACCCTGCCTTTGAACCACGCCCTACAGACATTCTTTCACATAGCAAAAGCCCACAGAGTCTACCAGCTTCGGTCCTATAGTGCGCCCTAGGTAGTTTGGAGGATTGGGTATGGAACAGCACAACCAGGTGTCACTTTCGTGGGTAGTCGGGCTGGCAATGGCACCGATTGGAGGCTCGACAGATCCTGCGCCGAGTAACTATTTTCCAGATAGACAGACAGACATCAGAGGCCCTTGGAGCCCAGCCCTTTTATAACCACTGCTTCCTGGTTAATAATAATAATAATGAGTTACTCCTGGAAATGGCCGTATCAAGACCGTCCGCCAGAGCGAGCCACCGTGGCTCGCCCCCAGAAAATAGGATTTGGGTTAATCCCAACCCCGTAAACCACTAGGAAGGCCTCAAAAATGGACCTAGAACGCACACATAAGCAACGGTAATCCGGGATTGGTGGAGCGGCAGGCTGGGGCGTACATTTTATTTCAAATGGACGAAATCTCGTATATCTGCAAACCCCTTGGCTCTGGAGAATCTTTGGATCAGCATTATATCGTTCAAGGGACGTCAGGAGAGCCTTGCACGGCCCGGATCCGACTGATGCGATGAGAATTCTATAAGCACAACCTCAGGCCTGCGACAGGGCCGCTTTGTCGATATCACTGACTAGCTAGCTACCATGCCGGTCTCGCATTCTTTCCACCGACGGCTGCTGTTTCTCACCAGCGGCGCATTCGTCCTGCTATTCATATATTACTTTGGCACCGTATACCGACACAGGCTGGGTGTTGTACCTAAACATGGCAGTACTGTGCATGAAGAACCTGAGGAGATCGAAGAGATTTGCATGGGCAATGATCCAATAAAGGCATTGTCGGACAAGGCGGACAATGCATGGCGCAAGTACGACTCTTCCCGGTCGATGACCTTCAGCGACGCTGTTGTCGAGTATCGGGTGCGGTATGGTCGCCATCCGCCGCCTGGGTTTAAGGAGGTGAGTCCTCGCTTTGTATAGCTCTATGCGTTTCACTGTCTTTGTACTTTTGCGCTGGCTTCGTGCCACTGCTGGTTCTCCTCATCGGCCCCCCTACCTACACTGGACCAATTCGGGAGGGAAAGGGAGCATATAACTAATTAACGGACTATACGCAGTGGTATATATTTGCCCGGGAGAACGACGTCCGAAATGTGGACGACTTCGATCAGATAAACGACGACCTCCGGCCGTTCTGGTCAGCGGAGCCAAAAACCATCCGGCGGAGAGTAGCTGCAGCTTGCCAGGATCACAGCGGAAACTCGATCGCGGCGATCCACATAAGGGATGGGGCTATTGCGAATATCACCGGCGATGGATGGCGGATAGATACTCTGAAGTCGCTAGTTGCGCGGTTTGCGCAGAAGCTACCAGACATGGACATTGCCATGAATACGCTGGACCAACCTCGACTCGTAACCAAGTGGGAGGACATGCAGGCCATGCTCAACAAGGAGATAGCGTCCCGTGTTACTCCTCCTGATGCCACCTATTCGTTTACAAAGAATATGGAAGGATTTTTCTCGCTGACGAGCAAAAACAACGTGACAGAGGAAGACAAGGTCAAATGGGCTGGAATCCCTTCCAAGCAGTACATGGAGATTGCGGCGACTGCCTGCCCTCCTGAATCTCCAGCCCGGAATCCAATCCTGAGTATTCAAGAGGCTGATAGCCGTTACAAAATACCCGGTGCCGGCCTGGTGTCAAACTTCAACACGTCCAGTGATCTATGCGTTGTCGGGCCAGCCATAAAGAATCTCCACGGATTCCTATTTTCGTCGTCGAGTATTAGCCACTCAGATGCTCTTATACCGATCTTTAGTGAGTGTAAGGTGAACATCAATAATGATATCCTCTTCCCGGCCAATATGTACTGGAAGGATGATGAACGATATACCTACAATGGCGCTGAAGACATTGACTGGAAGATGAAAAACGAGACGCTCTTCTGGAGAGGAGCCACTTCTGGCGGTATCCAAACAGCTGATAATTGGTCTCGAATGCATCGTCAACGGCTGGAGTTCAAGATGAACGGGACAAAACTCATTGGCAAAACAGAACGAGTCCTGCCATGCAACGACCAATCTTTAAGCTCGGGCGATTCTGCGTCGTCGAATTTCCAACCAACCGATTTCGCCAACAAGCATTTTGATTTCGGATTCACGGACCCCATGGCTTGTGTGCCAGCCAACTGCGAATTCTATAATGACACCTACACGTACAAGGAGAAGATCCCCCTTTCACATCAGTTCGTGAACAAATACCTAGTGGATATAGACGGACACAGCTTCTCTGGCAGGTGGCGTGCTTTCCTCCTTAGCAAGTCCCTAGGTATAAAAGCCACCATATTCCGTGAATGGCACGACTCGCGCCTCTTTGCATGGAGACATTTCGTGCCCCTGGACAACCGATACGATGACTTCTATGCCCTTATGACTTATTTCATCGGGACAGGGACAAATAACACTACCTCTAGCAACCCCCATGTTGCCCGTCATGACAAGACTGCGCAGAATTTGGCCCGGCAAGGTCGCGAATGGGCTGAGAAAGTTCTTCGGAATGAAGATATCGAAGCATATATGTACCGGCTTCTTCTTGAATATGGTCGAGTCATTGATGACAATCGGGACTCCATTGGCTACCATGGTGATGGCAGCGAACTAAAAGAATTTGACGAGCATTTGACGCGGTGATAATTATAATGAACGGCGATTTGGTTCATGGAATATATTATGTGTTTGTTTGTACGGAGTACATATGTGCGGCTTCGGTCTTTGCTGATTTGTGTGGTACATGCTTCAAAACTTGGGCAGCCATGTACTATATTTCATTTGGGGAAATAGGGAATCGATCATTTAGAACTTGGTTATCTATCTTATGCTATTTAATATAAATAATAATCACTTCTTTCCTCAGACTAGCTATCAGTGTTCCCTTTGCTTTAGCTGTGTGAACCAATTGTTCCGTAGAAAATCGCCCTTATTCAATGACGCTGATAGATGCTGTGGTAGTCTTTTTAAACCTATTGACAAGCAGTCCACCCTAGTTCCTATCCTGATGAAGGCAAAGATGGATGTACTGTAAAAAAAAAAGAAAGAAAGAAAGAAAGAAAGAAAGAAACCAAGAGGGTAAAAATACCGGCGAAAAACTCCACGCCTCCGTTATGCCCCGTTTGTCCGTTTCCCATCCTCGGCCCATAAATGATGACGATTGGTATAAACCCGCAGAATAAATGAGCATAGGCAAACTCCTCAAATGATCTAATAGGAAAAGGGGAAAAAAAGGGTCGGAAATAATATTATGAGAGAAAACAAGCAAGCTGCTTCCTGAAAATGCGGAAACGACTTTTATCTGTGGCCAAGAAAACAAAAAAATATTGAGCCCCTGGAGGTTCTCTATCTGTCGTAGTGATATGAGCCTGGAACCGGCGAATTCGAAGCGGAGAGCCTAAGCGGGTCGAAAGGTTGCTGATGGGTTCCATTTGGTAGGTGGAATGCGAGCCGCTTAGCGGGACGAGGGGGCTCCTCCTCGTCATCACTGCCAGTCAAATCAATGACTTGACTAATGGCCCTTTTACCGGTTGAAGGTCGAGGAGCCGATGCAACTGAGGAGGCTTCCCTAGATGGAGTGGGAGTTGTGTGTTTGATATAGGACTGGGAGTCAAATTCCCTCTTGACAGTTGGCACGCCACAACTGTCTACCTCTACTAGATCAAGGTCATCATTGTCCCCATTTTCAACACCATTACTATCCGGTGCAGCTTCAGAGACGTCGTTCGGGTTTGACCACTCCCCGTTCTGCTCAATTGTCACTTGATCAACTGACTGTGGCGTTGCACGTAGTATGTTGTCAACATACCTAGGGCATGTAAGTTGCTAGACACTGGAATTGTCAGGGTCGTTGAAGACTTACTGGTCAACCTGTAAAGCTTCAAAGCTGGTTGCTTTATAGCAGATAGGACAACTCCACGTCGGCGCCTGTTCCTGTAGTTGGAGGAAAGATGTTGCATCGAAACACTGGTTATGTGTGCAAAGTGAGGTACGACATGGAACCGAAATCCGGAGAGTTGAGAGAGGACATTTTAGTGACATTATGGCTGACGTTGTCACAATATCCGCATCCTGGGCCCTGGTCTGCACTATAGACCGTTGTAAGATTCTGGCCGCATAGTTTGAGAGATAAACAAACAACTTGGGTAGAACTTACTCTCCCTAACCACTTGCTCAGCAGAAATTGTTTTTCTGACCTGGAGCTGGGTAACCAATTCTTCCACAGGATGCTTTTGTACGAGGTTGACAACGATAAAGAATTTCTTGTGTTTATGTTAGCTGTTTGACTGCGATTTGCATGGAAGAGTGGGGGACAACCTTCTGGGTCAGAGCGTATGTCATCGTCACAGTGTTCACATAGCCTACTTTCTTCCGGATGAAGTTCGTTATATCAGCGGGTCTGGTTGTACCTGGCTTGTTTTTTAGACCGCGTAGGTTTGCTTTGACGTCGTCATGATTGACTTTGAGTTCCACTTGATGTGGGAAAGCAATGTCACTCGGAGAATAATGCGTAAGGCCATTATCTGCAGCACCATAAACCATGATCCGGAGGTTTGGATTTGATAAAAGCCGTGAGGCAGTTTCAGAGGTGAGAACAACTCTCAAGCAAACTGTATCTCGAGAGGAATCTCGAGCTTTAGAAGTAAGTCAGATATACATTGTCTTATTCTGCAGCGTATAGTTTTACGGTATTATTTTGTCGTATCGTACCTTGACATTCCATAACCGAAGTCAAAGGTTCTAGAATGGTATAAAACGGGCTTTTCTTGAAGGTCAAGCGGCCTATATAACTCCATCAGCCAGGCTCTTGTTATAAAGGGATCGACACCAACGTACCCATAGGACTTGGGGGAGGAAGAGGAACTGTTGTCCGGTATTGTGGTAATGCATGCGAAGACTGCGGCTGGGGAGCCGGAGGGTAATGCGGTGATAATGGAGTCAAGGGCGGAGGTGACGGTTGGCCCCGAGCGACTGCGTATATCCGCGCAATGAGACTATTCAGCCGGTCTTGGTTCGCCCACTCGCCGTACGCATAGTAGTTGAGGCCTGTAGCGAGGAATATGCGTTACTAAACGTAATATATATATATATATATATAGTAGGGTAGTTATCGAGAGGACTCACGGCCTATAAGCCTCGCCTGGAGTGTTAGCTTGACCCCCGAGACCGGTAGGCCCTCGCTCTTAAGGATCGCCTTCAGCTGGGTAATGATAAGCTTATACAGCGTCGCCCTGACACGCTCGACCCCTTGGTTCAGCGCCGGGGGTGCCATCTTGGCCGCTTCGCTGGTGGTTCTCGAGGCTCGCTGGTCTCCCTGGCCTGAACGGCGGGCTGTAGGTGAGGTGTTCGGGGGATCTCGAGGGGCGACTGCTCAAGCCTGAAGCAGTTCTACCATGGTATATGTTCTGTCAACCTCAGCGGCTGTTTGTGCGCTCACTCCAGTCCTCCGTTCGAGGGTCACCGTCGCAGCGTCCGGGTGCTTCTTTCTGCTGCCTTTCGCTGTTCTCGCCCACGATCGGACTAAAAAAGAAAGTTGCGGATAGGACGATGGCTTAGTAATCTTGTCCTTGATGATGTAAGCGAGGTCGAGTTT